AAACCGGTAAACGGCCCTGAGGGGGAGGGGGAAACTCCCAGTATGGCCAGAAGGCATGTGGGGGGGGACGGGACGCAGAGTGTTTCTGCTCGCTTGGCACATCGGCCACTTCTAAAGGGTGCCTACCAGGGCCTGGGCATCAGATCTCCCCCCCCCCAATCCACTAAATCCCACCTTACTATATATACTACTTTCTGGTTGAACAGGAAAACGGTCGTTTCCCCCCCTCCCAGCTAAGAAAAGTTTAAATAATAATAATAAACCCCATGCTTCTGAAAAGGAAACCGGTGTTTCTAGGGAGAAAGGGGTGTGCCCCCCCCCCCCCCAAATAAGCACTTGGCCTTATTTTCAGGGGGGTCTTATTATTTTTGAGGTGCAGGAGGCGTTGAGCATGGTCACCTCACGGCCGCTGCTACGTGGAGATATTTTCAGGTGAGGGCTTATTTCAGCGCATGCGCTCAAAAGCCCAATTGGGCTTATTATCTGGGGAGGGCTTAGTTTCAGGGAGGTCTTATTATTTTTGAGGTGCAGGAGGCGTGAAGTGTGGTTACCTCAAAGCCGCCGTGTTGCGATATTTTCAGGGGAGGGCTTATTTTCGGGTGAGGGCTTATTTTAGCGCATGCGCTCAAAAGCCCGATGGGCTTATTATCCGGGGAGAGGTCTTATTTTTGGGGAAACAGGGTATTAGATCAGGTAAGGCTGGGTGACAAAACAGATTAAGAAAGGACAAAAAAGAAACTTCAAGTGCCTTTGTCGGATATCTATGTATATATATATTTTTCTTCTTCTTCTCTTCCTAAACTGCTGGCTTCTCCCGTTCGGTAAAATTACACGCCCGAGTCTATCGCAGCACTTAAAAGTGTGTTACTCGTCTTACACATTTCCCACTCATGCCTGCGTATATTAAGTGCTTTCTCCTCAACCGACTCTCCGCCCAGAATGCAGCAAGGTACGGGTGTGGATTAAGCGTTTCCGAACAAAACCGTTAAGATAAAATAAACATCTTTTTTTTTTTTTTAAAGTGGAGGGAAAGCTCCAAACTCTGGAACTAGGCACAGGAAATGAGTAGGTAGATGCACCGTTAACTCAGGTTTTCACGTGTCCAATTGGAGGAGGAGAGGGGGGGGGGAGCATGGAAGAAACCAGTATGCCCAGAAGGCCATTTTAAGGTTTAGGCCCCCAACGCAGCCATCCACATCCAAAAGGAGAACAGGTACGTTTGGACGTCCATGTGATTCAGATGACCACCACCACCACCCTGGGAAAATACAGCTTCGGTTTAAAGAGGTGTTAGCCCGGGGGGGGGAGTGTCCAAATCGCCCTTTCCCTTTTGAATCCGGATGGCTGCGCAGCCCGACTGTTCCCACCCCCCTTTTTTTCCTTTGCCAAAGGCCGCTGGCTAGAAGTGGCTGGAGATATTATTGCCGAAGACATGAGAGAAACATTACAACAGCTTGAAAGTCGCAAAGTTTTGTAAACACACACACACACACACACTCACGCACAGGTGTGCTACTCAAGTGTGGAGGACCACAAAGTCCTCTCAAGGTACCTGGGGGTGGGGGGGCTCAGGGTGGGGGTGGGGAGCTAAGTCACCCTTTCCAAAGACGTGACTGCAAACTAGGTTTCCCATAGCACCTTTTTGGGGAGCTACGAGAGTAGTTTTTTTTTTTTTTTTTAAAAAGAGGAGCAGGAATGGCTGGGCTTTTATCTGGGCATCGCCCAATTGAGCCCCTGCTGCGGAGTCGCTCCGACTCGTGGTCCTCCCAGCCTTGAGCCTTTGGAGGAGGAAGGGAAGCCGCGTGACCGCCTGGCATTCGTGGTGCCCCTCTTGGATTCAATGGCCTTTGACGAGAGGGGATCAGGCCCGGGTTTGTAGCCCTGAGGCCAGGCCAGGCCGAACTAGGAGACTTTTGGCGGGGTGCCCTTTCGTTAGGAACTCGGAATGGGAGAGGGGGTTGCCTTGCCCCCAAATGGTTCACGCCACCCTTTAAAATACAATCAATACTCGGTGCGTCGCCTTTACCAGCCACACCACAAATCTATCTGCTGTCAATGGAAGGGTGGGGGAGGCCAACCTCATATGAGAAATCTCTTGGTTTCTTTCAATGCCAAATGGAAATCCTGAAATACTGAGGGTTTGGTCCATGAGCATGGATCAAAAGCATTCTCCCTTTTGCCTCTAGATCACAGGGTTCGAGGCAGGAGTAACAGATGGACGGAGTTGAAAGGGACCTTGCAGGTCATCTAGTCCAACCCCCTGCCCAAGCAAGAGACCCTGTTCTTTGTAGATAAGCCAAAGGCCCGTTTCTCCAGGCGGCTTCTCAACGGATCCTCAGCATGTGAGCTGAACGGCTCCTTCTTGTTTTTAACAGATTAACAAGAGTTGGAAGGGACTTTAAAGGTCATCTAGTCCAACCCCCTCCTCCCCCGCTCAAACAGGGGACCTTACACAATTTCTGACAAATGGCAGCCCAATCTCTTTTTCTAGCTATAACTCTCCAATTCTCTCTCTCTCTATTATATATATATTATATTATATATATATATATAATATAGAGAGAGAGAATTGGAGAGTTATAGCTAGAAACTGGTTATATATATGAGTTATATATAATAACTTTTACAGAGGGGAGAATGCAACATGGCCATCATTTTCTGGGACACCTGAAATGGTTTTTGCGATCCTCTTTCTTTCCTCGCTAGCTTTACATTTAACAAAAGTTCCTGGATTACATTCTCACTCTTTGCACTGCGAAGCGACTTCTGGTTTTCCTTTCTTGGTTTGTTAGTTTGTTAGTTGTGTTTGAAGCCCAACAGCACAGAAACAAGACACAGGAAGGGGAAGGGTCATCGCCGACGCAAAAAACCTCGGCTGTCAAGTATCAGAAGCAAAAAGACCTCCGAGGATGTCTTCTGGAGGGGGGGGGACGGGGTTGAGCAGGTTCCTCGGCTGGGATGTGCCTGGACTTTCCCTGGTGTTTCGGGAGCGGGATAGGGGGAGGCCGGAGCGCTTGGTCTCCCCAGTCTCAATTCTGGATTGGGAAAGACTTGGATTTCTGCCACCCACCCATCCCGGATGCGTCCAGAAGAGCGAGCCAGAGATTCCCCTGCCTTGGCTGAGGCCTTCAGGGGAAGACGCCGGGAGAGACCTGGGTCTCCTCCGGCTCCTCCTCCAGCAACGGAGCCAAGGTGGGGCTGAAGGGTCCTGGGTTTGAAAGACCTTCAAGCCCATCCGGGAGAGCCCATGGCCAGCTCTTCTCCCTTTCTGCAGACTGGCCCCTTGGCTCTCTCCCTACCCTCCAGAGGCTGGGGTGCCTCCTTTCCTTCAGTGTGCCCCCCCCCCCCGAGATCGACCAGAAGGGGACCCTCCAGTGCAGAGGTGTGTTGCTGCCAGTTTGCTTTACACACACGTGTGCTGCGCGCGCGGCTGACTACGTGCGCAGAAAAAGCAAAAGTTAGTAAGAAACTATTCCGGCAATGGCATCACCAAACGGAGAACCAATTCAGGGGCGTGGCCAGCCTGTGTCGTTGCTGGTTCAGGCGACCAAAGCCAAAATACCACAACCAGTTCGGCCCAATCGATGCAAACCGGTAGCAACCCACCTCTGCTCCAGTGAGGGAGAGGCTCACATTATAAAGCAGTTCCTTCTTCCTTAGAAAAATTAGTAACATTATTATTATTATTATTATCATTATTATTACGACTGATATTTCATTCTCAGCCTGGATCAATCCGTCTTGTCTTTTCCCCCACCTCTAGTTTTTTTTTTTTTTGCTTTTCTTTAAAAAAAACAAAACAAAACCACAACTGATAATAAATACCCCTGTTCCAAGCATTCCCAGCTGCCTGAGACACCCGTTTCTCCCATTCATTTGATGCCGGAGAAAAGGGGAAGAAAGGAATAGGAATATAAGTGATACCGGAACCCACCCCGTCCCCTAATTTCCCCACCTCCCGCCCCCGGTGGCAAAAAGGACTCGGCTCGCAGCTTAGCAGAACCTAATCCAGCTTTGCCGCTATATATATATCTATATCTACATCTATAGATATATAGATATATCTATATTTTGTATGACTTAACGCTCTTCATCCCTACTCATATCCCCCGCCAGATGCTAGCTGCCTGCCCCCCCACCCCGTCTCCCTGAGAATGGGAGGAGTATTAGAGGACAAATGAACACACACCAGAGTCGAAGGGTTATAAAAACCGTCCCGCCTAAAGCGGGGTCGGAAGGGGCAGGGCGCTTCCTGCCACGGGGAGCACATCCATCCAGAAGCGGGAGGGTCAGTCCGTCTGCATCACGGGACCACCATGCTCTGCCTGCTGCCCCCCTGTAAACATGTGCACCCCAACAGATGGGTCCTCTGGCTGCCCCCTATCCTACGCTGCCCTATCCCCAGGATGTTGCTGCCACTGCTGCTTCCTCTCCGTGTTGTGTGTGGTCCAAGAATCAGTGCTTCCCTCCGCCTCTCGCGCACCTTCTGGGATAGAGTCGGTTTTGCTGCTCGCTGGCCATTCTAGCATTCGTTCTTGCCTCTCCCCCTCAACATAGCAAGGTCCCCTGTCCATGCAGTTTTTTGCTTTCTCCGCTCGCCCAGACCAAACCCCCACCGCTGCTGTGTGGCTGCTCCTTAAGGGGCCGGGGCTGAGGCTGGCTCGCTGGAAGGCGTGGAAGCGTCTCTGGGATCCGCGGTGGAGGAAACAGCCACCTCTAGTTCGCTAATGTCTTTCACAGGCAGGCCCTCCGCGTCAGGGAGCGACTCTTCCGAATCAGTGTTCAGATCCTCTTCCTCCTCTTCCTCATCTTCGTCGTCCTCCTCATCCTCCTCTTCATCATCATCGTCATCGTTCATTTCTTCCTCCTCCTCGTCATCGTCGTCGTGGGAAGAGTCGTCCTCTTCTTCCACGTTGCCACAGCTGGCCAGGAAGTGCTTGCTGGCGGCAGGGGCCAGGGTCTCCCCCGGGGCGGAAGGGAGGCCACCCGTGCCCTCGGTGGGCTTCTGGCTGAGGTCCACGGAGTCGTTGAGCCCCACGCCCGCCGCGTTTTGCAGGAAGAAGAGGGAGCTCTTGGCGTCTGTGCTCAGGTTGAGGGAGCTGTCCAGGTTGACGGAAGCACTCTGGGCCTCGTACTCCATGGGGACGACCGGGAGTCCCTCGGGCCCCGGAGAGATGGCCGGCAGCTCTCCCCGCTCCTGCTTCTCGTGCTTGCGCTTGTGCGAGTCCATCTGTGACATGCCCACCACGGTGTGCTTGCACCCGGGATAGGTGCAGTGGAAGTGCGAGCACTTGAGTTTGTATTTGCACTCGGGCACTTCGCAGTCCACGCTGGAGCTGAATTGGCAGAAGCCGGCGGCGCTGATGACGTCCTGCTTGCCGTGGTGCTTGCGGTGGGCCGTCACTTTGGTGCTGTCGGTGCAGCGGAAGCCACAGCGCAGGCAGTGGAAGTGCGTGCTGTTGCCGGAAAACTGGCAGTCGGGGAAGTGGCAGCTGAGAGAGGACTTGAAGCGTTTGAAGTCATCCAGCACCAGGTTGTCCACCCGGTCGTGGTGCTGGGCGTGCTTGTACATGTGGGTGCGGCCACAGAATTTGTACCCGCAGTTCTCCCGGGTGCAGTGGTAGTGCGTGACCTTGAGGGAGAACTGGCAGTTGGCATCTTTGCAGTCCTCGTACAGGTCGTACCGCCGGAAGCCCTCCAGCATCATCCCCTCGTCCAGCATCTTGCGCGAGGAGGGGGTCTTGCGGCGCTTGCCGAAGGGGGACATGTCCTCGATGATCCAGAAGCGCTTCTTGGCCCCCGCGGCGGTTGGCATGGTGATGGTGTTCCCTAGGGGAATAAAGGCAGAGTTTGGCATTGTGGGAGAGGACAACTCCCCCTTTTTCTTCCAGACCCTCCCCCATAATTAATCAAATGCATTTTGTTTTTGGCTAATATAGTGTGTTTGTTTTAATTGCCAGGTTGCGATAGAGGACAGTCAAGGTCAGTGATGGCGAACCTTTTTGGCACCCAGTGGCCAAACCAGAACACACATGCATGTGTGCATTGGCCAGTTGGTCTTCAGGTTTCCAGCACACAGATGCCAAAGATCCGAAGACCAGCTGGCCGGCACATGCATGCCTCTTTTTGGGCCATTTTCTGGGACGTTTTCAGGATTTGGGGGGGGGGGGGGAATACTTGAAGCTCAGGCTTGACATGAGGGAGTCCTTGGTGCTCTCTGAGCATGCTTGTTTTCTTGCAGGCATTTTATGACCCTAAGTAGGAAACGTTCAGTGCTAACCAGTGACTAGCACTGATGATGTTACCTAGTTGGGTAATGAAACGTCTGC